AAAGCTTAGGCGTCACTGCAACCTTTTTATGTGTTCTTTGTATGACATTTATTAAATATTGGGAAAGTACCGTCTGTTTATGTCTTGTATGTCGACATGTTTCATGTTCAATGTTACTGAACGGATCTCGATTAAATTTTATATTGGAATTATATCAGTAGAACGTGTAGGTCGAATTATCCCTTATTCCTTATCGATCTAATTTAATTATAATTTTGTAAATAGATAAATTGAGATATTTCTTTTTACAAAAACTACACATTGTAAAATAATTTTTTGGGGGGGGCCAAAATAAAAATAAGATGTTGATCTTCAAGTTCTAGGTCTACAGCTCTTATTTTTAAAAATTCCAATGTACTGTAGAACAGAAACCGCTAGACGACGTGGCATCTGTAGCGCGATCATATTTCCACTAATGGGTTTACAACAGAAAATAAGTTAATTAAAATATACTCCAAACTGGATTAAAATTAACCCTCTGAAGCAGAAGTTAATCTAAAATTATGCAACAGTTCAGTTCCTACAGCAAAGAAAACACGAGACGTATCCATCATAGAGCTCAATTGGTGAATGCTGTTTACGGAAATAGTCGCTGTTTATTCTGAGAAAAGTACAAAACACATAAGAACAAAATGTGCACAGAATGCAGAATATGCAAACGTGATGCACGTACATACCTTAGGGCTTTAACGTTTTGGCCCTTTGCCAAAATGTAGTGGGTTTTCATACTGTAGTGTAGATGAGTAACCCGGAAAGTTATACTTCGGATTAGCTCAATAAAACCTATCCAGAGAACTCACATTATTCTTTTATTGCCCACTGTTAAGAACGAATTTACTACTCTTTTCTGTTCTAGAGTTAAGATAAATGTAGTATAGATGTAAACGCCGTTTCAGCCAAGTCTAGCTTTCTGCATGTTTAAGCAGACAACAAGCGGACCAAAGAAGTTCCTTTTGTTAAACTACTGCTTCAGATTTCTTTTAGTATTCTGTAACATACTTTTGGACAAATCAATTTCTGAGTGTGGACACAGTGATTAAAAGATGACTTTAAATTTATCTATCAAGAAAGACTGTAACTGAATGGTCTAAATCGGGCGTTTGTTATGTGCTAATGGCGTTAGAGTCAAGAAGCTTGCCGTGTGTCCCAATGACAGAGACAACGCTGCCATCTGTTAAATATACAACAAAATCACTTTGTCGCTTTTTCCAAATAATTTCGTTTTCGTGAAACTCAACACAAATTTAAAATGTTAAATTGAAAGAAAAAATTGATCAATATCTGGCATCGCGCCCACCGTAATTTAACGGGTTTGACGCCATTTTAGGCGTCGCGACGCTCGGCGTCGGTTTTCTAATTTAGTCCTCGCTGTCATCAGGTCACATCTGATGATCATTTGGCGTTATTTGAAGGCGTCGTGATGGTTGGCGTCGCGACGCCTGGCGTCGATTTCACAAAATCGCTCTCAATGTGTTCCCAACTGTTTGAGACGGACACGTGTGATACAATGATGGCATCGCGGCTAGTAGCGTCGCGACGCTCGGCGTCGGTTTTCTACTTCAATATCTGCGGTACGCTAGGCGTATTTCGACGGCAACGCCATGATCAGCGTCGCAACGTTAAGTTAGGTTAGGTTATGTTAGCCCGTGTATATTGTACGGTATCCACATTTCGCCCAAGGCGTCACGACGAATTTAGTCCCTCTGATCGACGCCGACTATCTGGCATCGCACCCACCGTTATTCAATATGTTTGACGCCTTTTTGGCTTCGCGACGCAAGGCGTCGGGTTTCTAATTTAGTCCTCGCTGTCATCAGGTCACATCTGATGATCATTTGGCGTTATTTGAAGGCGTCGTGATGGTTGGCGTCGCGACGCCTGGCGTCGATTTCACAAAATCGCTCTCAATGTGTTCCCAACTGTCTGAGACGGACACGTATGATACAATGATGGCTTCGCGGCTAGTAGCGTCGCGACGCTCGGCGTCGGTTTTCTACTTCAATATCTGCGGTACGCTAGGCGTATTTCGACGGCAACGCCATGATCAGCGTCGCAACGTTAAGTTAGGTTAGGTTATGTTAGCCCGTGTATATTGTACGGTATCCACATTTCGCCCAAGGCGTCACGACGAATTTAGTCCCTCTGATCGACGCCGACTATCTGGCATCGCACCCACCGTTATTCAATATGTTTGACGCCTTTTTGGCTTCGCGACGCAAGGCGTCGGGTTTCTAATTTAGTCCTCGCTGTCATCAGGTCACATCTGATGATCATTTGGCGTTATTTGAAGGCGTCGTGATGGTTGGCGTCGCGACGCCTGGCGTCGATTTCACAAAATCGCTCTCAATGTGTTCCCAACTGTCTGAGACGGACACGTATGATACAATGATGGCTTCGCGGCTAGTAGCGTCGCGACGCTCGGCGTCGGTTTTCTACTTCAATATCTGCGGTACGCTAGGCGTATTTCGACGGCAACGCCATGATCAGCGTCGCAACGTTAAGTTAGGTTAGGTTATGTTAGCCCGTGTATATTGTACGGTATCCACATTTCGCCCAAGGCGTCACGACGAATTTAGTCCCTCTGATCGACGCCGACTATCTGGCATCGCACCCACCGTTATTCAATATGTTTGACGCCTTTTTGGCTTCGCGACGCAAGGCGTCGGGTTTCTAATTTAGTCCTCGCTGTCATCAGGTCACATCTGATGATCATTTGGCGTTATTTGAAGGCGTCGTGATGGTTGGCGTCGCGACGCCTGGCGTCGATTTCACAAAATCGCTCTCAATGTGTTCCCAACTGTCTGAGACGGACACGTATGATACAATGATGGCTTCGCGGCTAGTAGCGTCGCGACGCTCGGCGTCGGTTTTCTACTTCAATATCTGCGGTACGCTAGGCGTATTTCGACGGCAACGCCATGATCAGCGTCGCAACGTTAAGTTAGGTTAGGTTATGTTAGCCCGTGTATATTGTACGGTATCCACATTTCGCCCAAGGCGTCACGACGAATTTAGTCCCTCTGATCGACGCCGACTATCTGGCATCGCACCCACCGTTATTCAATGGGTTTGACGCCATTTTTGGCGTCGCGACGCTAGGCGTCGGTTTTCTAATTTAGTCCTCGCTGTCATCAGGTCACATCTGATGAACATTTGGCGTTATTTGAAGGCTTCGTGATGTTTGGCGTCGCGATGCCTGGCGTCGATTTCACAAAATCGCTCTCAATGTGTTCCCAACTGTTTGAGACGGACACGTGTGATACAATGATGGCTTCGCGGCTAGTAGCGTCGCGACGCTCGGCGTCGGTTTTCTACTTCAATATCTGCGGTACGTTAGGCGTATTTCGAAGGCAACGCCATGATCAGCGTCGCAACGTTAAGTTAAGTTTAAAATGTTAAATTGAAAGGAAAAAATTGATCAATAGACTACCACGCCTCAGGTGAAAAAATTTTGTTTCACTTCTTACGGGTACCCCTATTTCAATACGTTTCAGATAAGGACCAAGCCCGCAGAATAAATCCATATTTTGAAATTCTTTCAGTAATTTCGAAGATGGCATACGTATCAGCTATCAAACATGACCTCAACATGTCCCCCATTCGTGGTAATACGATATTATGTATATTCAAAATTAAATCGTAAAAGGAGTAACCGATAGAAACATATTTTTAGCTCAGAACTCTGGCCTGTTCCGCCCGCGACACTCTGCATAATTCACGTTACAAAGCTTCAGAAGTGAGAATAATGCCAGCTGCCCTAAATAAACCGTTGATATCAGGCCTCTGTTGAAACGTGTATTACTTTATGAATGAAATCGTTTAACGCCTTGCATGCAGGAAACTTCTCTGACATTACTGTCGTGCGGGCCAGTCGAACGCACTTACCAAGGCGTTTATCGCTCATACACTTTAAACAAGTTTATGAACTTTTCTGTTTGTTACGTAATGGACTGGAGTATACTGGAGGGCTCTCTTAATCAGGGACATAAAGGCAAGGGACAGGGAAGGAAAATTTTTAAATGCATGGTCACTTCTCGCATTAGGATAAACTTGCGATGCAATGTAGACTGTGTATGAAAATCGAGCTGAGAGATAATGCAGTTTTGGTTGGGGAAACTCTTTGTAGACGCATCGGTAGACCTAGATGGAGTAATGGGGGTAATATTTAAATAGATTTTACAGAAATAGGATGTAGTAAACGCGAAGCGGCTCGTGATAAATCAGAGGAAAGCCTTGTATTACGTCTGTTACGAATGAACCTTCAGATACACCTTCCGAAGTGTTGGGTGGCTGGGATCTAACTTTAAGAAATTACTGAATATATGAAGTTGAAATTCTGGGTGTAATTATTTATTTCTCTGCTATCAGCTCGAGAATAGAAAAAAAAACGATTTGTACCGGGCTCGGAATCTTTATTCCCTGAAAACAATAAGAGAAAATTACAGGGTAAAACTCAAGAAAATGTTTCCTGAGTTCGATGTCTGGTGAGGGCGCTTCCTATAGCTCGGAAATTAAGCATGATAGGAGAACGGCGCTAAGACCAAAGCCGTCCATTTCGAAGGGGTTACAGGAACCATAGTCACAAACTCGAAAACTGTTCGAGTCTCGTGAAGATTTGGGGTTTAGGGATATTTTTTTTATATTCAACAATACGCGACTATCGGAATAACATACATGACAGTTGCAAACCCACGACGACAGTTGCGTCGCGACGTCGACACAAGATAACACATATAACGCAGATGAGAATAAGAATGCCATAAGACACGACGCCGAGCATCACTGCAAATATCGTCAAGGCGACGACACAAAATTCCATATCCAAGGATCACATACGACATGAATTTATCGAAGAGACGCTGAGCTTCGCGGAATATGTGGACGTGGCGCCACGAGACGCCAAACGACAAGCTGACAACCCGACGCTAAGCGGTGAGACGCCTACCATCGCGACGAGAAATAACGTACATGACTGAAGGGTTGCCGCTGCGTACACTTACCTAGCCTGTGCTGATGTTCGTTGTGTTGGCTATCCTGTTGCTGTTGCATTTTCTTTAGGTCATCCAGCGCTTTGGCGCTGCATAGCGGTGTGTCCACTTCGTACGTGTTATTGAACAGGCTGTAGTCCACCTCGTACTCCCCCGTCTCTTTCTTGAACGACACAAGGGGCTCAAAACGGTGACCCCACAAAACTTCGCTTGGCAGGTAAGATGATCTCGCCTGTGTCGTCATCCCGGTGGACTCGATCACGCCTGCCAACACATATTTATTCTAAATTTTGTGCATAAAGTATTAAAATAACTAAATGCAGGGAGCAAAATCGTTCTTCAATGAGACGAAAGTTCTGCTTTGCCACAAGTGCGAATTTCTCACCTTCGAGAATGACGACGATCTCGAATCGCTCTCGTATCATCTCGGAGGCGGACAGCACGTAGAGGGGTGAGGTGGGGTCGATCTTGTGCACAATCGTCGTGGGCCAGATGAAAAAGATCTTGTCCTCCTCGCCGTCTTCGCCGACCATGAGCTCGTGCTGGTAGTACGGCAGCACCTCGCCCTCTTGGGTTACCTGCAGACCACACAATGGCGGGACTCGTTAACCTGTTACTCTTTTAATAACGCTTTCTCAACTGCATGCGTTACACAGCGTCTAATATGAGACTGGACGAGAGTGATGAATTGAGAAGGACGTGGTAGGAGGTGACGGGCTCTTATGAACATGATAATGAACCTTCGGATACATAAGAGAAGAGAATTTCTTGACTAGCTGAGCGACTGTCAGCTACTCAAGAAAAACTCTGTTCCATGAAATTGATAGGTTAGTGAAGAAAGCGAGCCACTCAGACGTCTAATGAATGAGTAAACGTGACTCTTTCGGCGGATGTAAAGCGGCCAGAACATGAAGCTGACTGCTCACCTCCATCTAGAGCCCAGGGCAGGATCAGTGAACTTTGTTCTGAGTAGCATCCTCCTTGTGCATTATGCGCCTATGTCCAATAACTGCAAATTTGGAGCTTTGTCTTCGTAAAGATGTCGCACGGCCAAACCCCGCCTCTAGCTCACAATTACAATATAACCTCAAATGAGAACATCCTTGAAATCTCTCGGTAAAATTATATAATATTTAAATGTAATTAGGCGGCTGCATCGTGATAGAGGCAGATGTGTGTAGACTGTATCCCACATATACAGGATGTGAGCTCAATGATTGCCCGTTAGAAAAATTGATGTGGGCGCCACACAGAATTAGAGCAGATTGGGCCTCTCCATCGTATCCTGGGTAGTGGTTCAGGAGGAACGTGGAAGGCAAGCGAGACTCCACAGAGTCACAATAGGAAAGCTCAATCAGCAACACTGAACAAGAAACAAGCCCACTGAACCAGCTTAACCATCACAGAAAGTCCCTTCAATGACATTCCCAGCACATCTGAACTTCCTGCCACCTGCAGGACAGTACAACTCGATATACTCGATAGACGATATCTGTGACGATGTGATGATCGTGATACGTACCTTCCTCCTGATGAGCTGCGCCCTGACGTGTGCCTCCACGATATGCGACTTCCGCATGTCTCCCACTCGGAACATGAGGCAAAGGCGACCGTCTCTCTGGCAGATCACGGCGTTGCGGCTGAACAGTAGCGTCTGTGTGCGCTTTTTGGGACGCGACAATTTCGCGAACACTATGCCCACCATGAAAGCCTGGATCATTACTCCTACTATGCTTTGCAGGCACATAATAAAAATGGCTTCCGGACATTCCTCCGTCGTATGCCGCGAACCATATCTGCAATATAAAACGATTTTACACGTAACAATAAAGTGAAATTTGGTTTGAGGGAAAGGCCGAAACGGATAACAAAGGAAAATAAATGATCATGGCCTTAAGATGGCTGTCTTCTGGGTTGTTGCGCCGTGTAGTCCGGTAGAAGTTTACCGACGTTTCAGAAGGTCTTGCTGCCATCATCATCAGTACGCCCTGACGATAGAAGCAGCAAGGACCTCAGACAACCCAAACGACAAAGATCTTCAGACTCACCGCCGTGAAAACCACAAATCCTACACGGTCATGGTCTTGTTACCATTAACGTCAGAGTTGACAGAGAGACAAGAATAGTTGATGTTGGGAAGCAAAAACTTGAATCGATGCGAAAATTAAAGAAGGCAATGTCTGTCACGAAAGCTTCCGGTAATTATATCCATAACTTCCTACCCTATTGTGTGCTGCGTTTCGACGCTGAAGAGGAAACAGGATACAAAACCCGATACATCCTTCACGCAGGGAGTCCATTCTTTCTCTTCAGAAACAGTCTTCTGCAACAGTAAATGACAAAACATGTCCCTCGTACGAAATAATTTAATGGTTTACATCAACATTAAGACAATGCCGTCAAAATATACTTTCTTCCTGAATCAGACTGTAGTACCTGGAAGGACGTACTGTTTTTCAAGTGTGATTCAAAATGTGATCGCAAATAATGCTACTAATACAGTAACAGCCCAATAACTTTTAAAGTGTTCTACAATTTCAAAATTCCTGTCTATGTGGCACAGTCGGAGAGAGATTTTAACTAGTACATAACAAACACACAACTTTTGACATTCGTTCAACTGGTCAGTAGTGTGAATAAATATACATCTCTAGAGAACTGCACATAATTCAAAAATCTGTACTCACAACCGGCGATGCCAGTGTCTGGTTGTGGCTAGTGGCGGACGCGTCTCGTTTCGGGTTGTTTTCTGGACTGAGGTCTCCATGAGAATACACGATAAGCCACCAAATAATAGCGAATCCGAGCCAGGACAACAAGAAGTTGAGGGCGAAAACAAGGAGAGTCCATCGCCACTGAGCGTCTACAAGCGTGGTGAAGATGTCTTGCAGGTAGCGTCGCCGTCTCTTCGCCACATTTCCCTGTACAACATTGCAGTCGCCGTTCTTGAATACGACCCTCTTCCTCACACGCCGGGAGCTGAACCGGGCTTGCCGGTACCTGCGTAGAGACAGAAAGCAGTCGCCTCTGAACCAACTTCTGTTTCATTGGCGGAACATACTCTTATTAGACTCCAGTAAAGAGGTTGGAAAAAACTAAGTATACGCTCCTGTATAATCAGGAGAATACAGGACAAGACCATGCTATAAAGATAACTAACATTCATTGTAATTATGGAAAAGTTAAAGTACTTGCGAGAACAGAACAAATCAAAACAGCATTCACGAAACAAATTAAGAGCAGGTTAACTAGGAGAATATTTGGTTCAATTTAATTCACAAATTTCTATCTACCCGTGTCATATAAAATTAAATATATGTGGCAGAATCCTTCTAGAGAATCTGACAGTCGCTCAGCTAGACGTTCTGGTTACAAGACTTAAAACTGCACGCCCCTAATTTTAGTCGTGTGCCCCTTGCATCTTCTACCCTCAGGTGTAATTTAACTGAGCAACTTTGGGATTCAGTTTTGAGACGCTTTTTGAAATTATTGTAGCCACTTCGTTTTACAGTGTTTATTATTTAATTTATGCATGCACTTTCAGTTCCTCCGCGTCCAGACCGTCTCTGGGGCCCACCCAGCCTCCTGTACAATGGGTACCGGGGTCCTTTCCCAGGGGTAAAGCGTGGCCGGGGTGTGATGCTGACCACTCACCCCCATCTAGTGCCGAGGTCAAGGAAGAGAGGAGCTATACCGCCACTCCCCCCAAGCGCCTACATGGCGTATAGTGGGACAAACTTTACTTTACTTTACTTTTATGATCTGTATTCTTCTAGACCGTATTTAATAAGTCCATACTCTACCTTTCTGTACACTGCGATCACTCTGAGAAAACATATATCTGCTGCCTCCGTTATTGTTAATTCCTCTGTCAAAGTCCGACATTCCGACTCATATAAAAGCGTAGTTTAAAGTCGATTTTCACATTTCTACGGGTTGGTCCGTATTCTGCCTGAAACTTAATTCTGAGTTCGCAAATTACTTTCAGCTTGAAATCCTCATAAAAGAGATGTATTCACAAATTTATCAGAAATAACAAACAGTTCTTTCTGACTACTAAAGTGTAGTGCGCCATTCAATACACCTGTTCCTTTGTACAGTCAGCACTGAAGTACTACAATTTCTGCAACTGCCAAAAATGTCTAAATTTAGCGAGATACAAAAACCTTTAATAGACCAGTGCTATTTTCTCGAACGAGGGTGCCAAAACTTAATGGGCTATACTCTTACGAAAAATTCAAGTACAATGGGTTTGTACATCGCAGTCTTCACTCCTGTTGACGGTCCTAATTTACCGCCTCGTCCTGTCTTTGGCTTGCATTCCGAAACAGCGCCAATGCATCTGGCAGGCCGCATCCTGTTTTATATTGCACGCACTTAGTGCAGTCCGTAAACCAAAGTAACCTGGGCAAGAGAATAAAAGTAAATAAACACAATTGTTGAACCACAGTTGCGTGGGTGTGCCCTGAATTCTATGCTGCCATGAATGATTCATTTATAAACGGATTTTAACGTTCGGAATTTCAAATACGCAAGAAGTCGCGTAGATCAAAGGTGCGAAAGTCTGTCAAAGCATTTGTACTAAGAGTCCAGATGTGGGACTTCAGATTCTCACGGCTGTTAATATGAAGATGAGATATTGCGCCGTGTAATCTGAAAGACGTTTACCGATGTGCTTGCTGCCTCCATCATCTGGGAGGCCAACCACAGAACGTTCCGAATACGAAGCCAGAATTCAGCCGCGATATTTCGTGGCATTGACTCGTTTGGTCTCATATTTTATTTCTATGACCGCAGTTATTGTTACTCTGCGCAACAAGCCTGGTTCAGACATGTATAACAGGAGGAAAGCCTCTGAGAGCGACCTAATCAGACAGAACTCAAGAGAACAAAATATGTATAGAATATGCAGTTCCCGAAGTTAATAAAACGTGCAACCTGGAAAATTAACTGGTTCAAAAACCAAGATATATCCGTCTGTAGTTCTTCAAAGTAGGCTAAAAGTATCCCCAATTCACCACTCATGAAAGTCCTGTTTTTAATGATTTATCGCTGTATCATTTTTGTACAGCAGTTAACACATATTAGTTAAATAAATTCAGATATAAATCATGTTTCATAGAGTTATGTAGACAATACACGACCCCGTGACACACATTTCAGGCAGTGTTTGTATGGAAAACAGCAGCTGCTTCAGGGTATTTCTGTTCAGTATTATGAGCTTGGTTACTACTACAGCGAACTTCATACTGCTTTAATTCGACAGAGGTTAAGATAATGCTTGTCGTACATCACTAGAGAGATAAAGACCTCCAAGTAGGACTACATGTTGATTTTCTGTTTTGACGTATTCAAATATCTGTATACTAGCAGTTAACATGTGATTCATTTCCTTATCAGACGGCGACCAGCAACTGTTATCTGGAACACGTGATTGGCACGTGGCAGACTTGTATCACACATCACAGCATGTAGGGCATAAAGGTCGTTCGGCATCTTTGTTTGTAACAACAGCTCGCTTCATAATTTACCGGTACACTTTTCAACAAATATTATTCGGAGTTGTGATAGTTAAGTGCTTTAACTGGTTGCGGGCTGAGCGACAGCGGTTCAATTCTCGGTAGAGGCAGCGATCACGTCAATACCGGCTGTGAAGACGATCCAGTAGCACAACCTGTGTATTCCGGGGCTTTTTACAATGTGGTAAAATGGACGGAGCGTGAGACAGACCGCTCACCTCCGTCTAACGCTGAGACCACGACATCCCGCCATTCCACAGGGACAAATTGTCTTTTACCAGACATTATTACAATGACAAAATCAAGGACGATGAGATGACCGGAACACGTAGCACGCATGGTAGTAATGAGAAACGTGTAAACAGTTTCAAACCCAAGACCTGGAAGAGATGAGACAACTTGTAAGACCTAAGCGTAGAGGGGAGAATAATATAAACATGGACCATAAAGAAACGGGAAACCGGCATAAGGATGAGAACTGAATCCACATTGAAGATCACCAGTGATTTCGTTGCCGGATAAAGTTCGTAAGTCAAAATGATGCAAGAGTTCCCACGAGTTCAATCGAAAACAAAAAAGTTTCACAATAATAAACTTTGTCCTGACGCACATGTGCACTCGTATGTAGTTCATTGGGTCAAACCGACTGCAAAACGTTCTGTAAAACTATCAAAGTGATTTATTTATAACACTCGATTTAACACGAGAACTGAATCACATTGCAAGCGGAATTATTCTTTTAGACGTTACTGGTTTATTAATGATGGTAACATTTGAAATGTGAATCGTCATATCATAAATAATCAAACTTGTCTGAAAAGCAACAATCCAGCAATGTTCAGTGATTGTTAACTCTCTCAACAATATCGTTTCAAAAGTATCCCTACGAGACTTTTTTTGTAGTGTTCTGTCTGACGACAGGTCCATATATTATGAACAGGATCCTTCCAACCTCTTCAGGTTGTCAGGGACCTGCTCATACAGAAGCCCCCGGAGGAAAACTCCGTGATGCCTAGACCACGGCCTTGCCCAACACAAGTTATAAATTTGAGCACCACCGGGAATTGAACCCGGGACCCCAGGATTACAAGGCCAGCGTTCTAACCGCTAGACCACCGTGGCGAACCCCTACGAGACTACGGAGACATAAATTGGCCTACGGTTCGGAATTTATTATATTTTAGAAAATGGAAAAGCAAACAGTAGATCGATAATTGAATTTTATTAACATCAAAACTTCGAGAGCGGGGATTCTTCTTCTCAAGAGCGTCATTTCCATGCAGGCCTGTCCTAACCTAACCTCTGCAAGTAAAACCATTAACAGAATCTGTTATTTTATCGCCCAATTTATTCAAAGTATGTAAATCTACGTATCGATGTCATAATATGCAAACTGTTAAGCCACTAAAATAGTGCATCGAAACTTTAAATAACGCCTACGGCAAACATGTTACGGAAACCTGAGGGAGTTACTGTTATCAGTTTGTTTGCAGGTCTGCTGGCTAGTGTCTGCAGGAGCAGGCACCATGTTCTCTCCTCACATAACTGCTGCTCTGCACACCATCAGCTGAGTATCAATGAATACACGAACAATGAAACGCAACAGAACATCTGAAGACGCTGCTCTGCACACCATCAGCTGAGTATCAATGAATACACGTACAATGAAAGGCAACAGAACATCTGAAGACGCTTACACATTCAACCTCGCCTACTGAACCTTCAGCAACGTCTGGATCAGTACCAGGAACTTAATCTCCTGTATTGGGCCATCACGCAAATCACGCTGATCGTGTGTGGAGGTCCGGTGCAGCACGGCACTGAGGGCTGATTTACCGCAGCGTTTCGGTGGGTCTGACACCCGGAAGCTCTGTTGGGCTAACCCGAAGAGCCCGCCCAATACGAAAAGAGACGCTCTTTTGATACTGCGTGAACAGGAAATCGATCACAACGGAGGACTTCCTGAAGCGCGTTTTTTTTTCTCAATATTCCCCAAGATGGGCTAAACGGATATAAATATCAACGCTTCGTCACACGGATTTTGCTACTGCAGCACACATGCTTCGACTCTTTTGGCCCACCTTTAGCCACAATTATCAAATCTGGTTGTGAAGTTCGTAGAAAAGTAGGTAATTCTGAGAGTCGAGGCAGTATATCCGAGTTACGTCAGACACGACCCGGAGGGGGGAGGGGGAGAATACGTCGACGACCAAAGGTTTCCAAAATAACCCGCGTGTCTAGATCGCCGTACGCTGACTGCACGCATTCTTGTATATAATTAGATGCAACAATCACCACTCCACTTTATTATTACAATTCAAAGTGCTTCGATGTGTCGATGCAGTCTTTTTCTTCCTTCCTGTCATAAAAAAATAAGTTTGAACGACGATCTCTGTTATATATAGTCTGCAGTTTAGTGGCTCAGTTAAAACTGAAAACGACTTGGCACAAGAGCTTGAATTTGTTTTAGCTTAACTGTGT